GGCATGCTGCCGAAAATTTAAAGCTATATATATATTTTTTTATTAAATAATTTCACTTGGAGTCGTGGCAGTGTTATAACCTGTTTGTATATATATATATATATATATATATATATATATATATATCGTTACCACTATATATATATATCGTTACCGTTTATCCACTCTTAACTTAGACCTCGTTTATTCACTCAACCTAGACCTGAAACTTGAAAGTTGTATTCCCCGTGTTTCTTGCATAATATATTTGTCCCTCGCTGATCCTTAGTTCAATAACAAGTAAGTTCTTATCCTACGTGCATGAAACATGAATAAATACCTGAGAGGAATACGAAGCCGGTCAGAAATGAATAAACAGTAAGGTATAACATAATAACCTAATTAATACGAAACTCTGCATGTGTCCGTTTCTTAAATAACTTTTCTGACCACAACATAACTACGAGCTAGTATATAAGCATAACCATAAGCAGAAGAATATCAAAATATTCCGTTCCTACAAATCACTCTTAATAATATCGTGGTAAAAGCAATATACTGTCTTGGCCAACATAAGGACAATTACAGTATGTTCGAGCATATGCTTATAGCGCTTATGTCGCAGTAAAACATGACAATTCTGGATGTCTGAAAATCCTCACACAATTCTTGCTTATTAACAACCACAGCTAAATAAATGAAAATTTATAGTGCATGCATATGAAAATACAAGTTGAATAAAATGTTATGCTTTTAAAAACCTAAATCTTAACCATCCAGTTAGGAATGTCAGTTCTTGCAGCACACACCAACAAAACTTTCGGTCCAACGATTCCAAGAGATTGGTGAACTGTCGCTGCGCCAAGAAAGTGGGTGGTTTTTGATTACTTTTTTGCTGATTCTTTGAGGCTCATCTTCCTCTTCCGACCCATATGTTTCGTTTTGTTCCACAAGTTCCTCCTCGCTCTCTTCTGGGGACATGCAATGCATTTTCATGCCGCCTTCTATACTCGGCCTTTTCGGTTCTGGCAATGTTGATGTTTTATTAAGCGTGTCGAACCGACGTCGAAGTTTCTATATAAATATAGTGAGAAATTCTCCTTACTACCTTTTTGATCAAGTACCAGGTACATACTAGGATGAAGGACGTGATTAAAAATATATTTGTGATATAGAAGATAAGGAGTAGTTGGGGGATAAAGAGAAAATCACGAAAAGCGTGCCCCATCATTCAATGTTTACGTGGCTTGGCCTGTGGTTTATCAGTCAACGTTGTAGTATATCATCCCTACTGCTATATAACATTAACTCTATAATGCGGAAATAACTTGTATGATCTTTCGTGTAAGGGAATCTGGACACATGCGCTAAAAGTCTAAACCTTCATTTCGGTGAAGATTTCTTCGTTCTATTAATACTTCGAAGGTATGCGTGCAAACCGGCACGAAAACGCTTATTAAATCCATTCGATGTTACAGTCCAGATGATCTTGATACTCGGAAAAGTACTGGCACTAGTTGTCACATAGAAATCAATTTTATGATTAAAACAACTTAATATCTCCTGTAATATACTTTATTTCGATTCCATATTTTTGTCAGAGCTTGAGTTCTCATAAGCAAACATAATTACAAAATTTCAACTAGTTTCATAAAGAATAACGAAAGATATAATTGACCGAATACATCAAAATGGATTTCTATTCGGACAACCCTTTCTGAGCGCTGATTGGCTAAAATACGAACACGAGATCACCTGGGTAACAGTGGCGGAAATCTCGGTCGGACGGGGGAGGGAAGAAACCCAACTTCAGGGAAAATGACGAATTTTCGGAAATTTTGACCTAAAAGTGTGGGGGGGGGAAGGGTTTTTCGGAAATTCAGGAGGCTTTGCACGGTTGCACCCCACCGGTAAAAGTTAATTTCCGTAACTGTACAGTAATGACGAAATAACCAAATGAATTAATGTGCGTAGATAATTTTAATAACTTATCGGATTTATTACATTTATCTGTACGTAAAAAACGGATGACGGGAATGCTGAGCCATATTACAGGAATAAAATTGAGCGAATTTTTCTGCTTATGTCAGCTAAACGATGGCGACGTCTTTCGTTTTGTAACACAGTTTTCCTCTCGCCAGTCTCCTCCTGCCTTCTTTTTGTTCTTTCAAAAATGCACCTTCATTGCTCCTATAGAATTAGAAAAATATATTAAGTAATAAGGCATGTTTTTGCATTGGACTAATAGGCTGGGCAATGGAACTAAATCGAACGGATAGTTACAGTATAAATTTTTAGATCTTTACCACGAGAGGTTGGGAAAATTAAAAGGTCAGTTACTCGGTTGTGCCATGTAAACTGTAATAAACAGTAATATACAGTAATTGTGCCTGATAAACCGACGCCCGGAGGGCAGAGTATTTTCAAAAAATTCCGAGTGTTCCCAATTTCCGCGAGTTTTGATATTTAAGAAATAGAAAACATTTTCCGTGTTTCTATAGAGTTATAGAAACACGCGTGAAAGTTTGGGAGAAACGAGAAAATGCGTCACGCAATTTCGAGTTTCTCCCAAACTTTCACATGTGTTTCTATAAACTCTATAGGAACACGGTGAAAATGTTTTCTATTTCCTTTATTAAATGGCCTTTTAAAAACAATAGAAAAGATAAATTTAAAAAGATACATTTTGACTTGGTAAACAGTCAAACAAACACAACGTGTGCTACTATACTTTGTGCTTTAGGTCTTCGCTTTCTAAGTTAGCAAAGTGTTGCCTTTTTTTGTAACGGTTCTTAGGCGTTTTCGGACGTTTTTCAACATTTTTTCAAAATTAAATATTGTTTGTATTTTGTCTTTTAAACTCCCGCGCAATCCACGCAACCCGCGCGAAAATTCCCGGTGTTTCTATCGAGAAATGCAGGGTGTATCAAAAAAAGTAAGACAATTTTGAAATTGCTCTCAATTCCACAATTCTGTTCATGAAATGTAATTTTTTATATGTATGGATTGCTTGAGTTCTTAAATTATGGAAAATATAAAAAATTTTGAAAATAGTAAATTTTGCTATCCAGGGGGGGTAGTCAACTTTTGCTCCCCTAAAAATGGCTTGCGCACGGAAATGACAAACGGTATTCTTTATTTGAGTTCATGTATAAAAAGTTCGCTATTTGTTGCATTTATGATAAAATTTCGGCAGGATTTTACCGAGTACAAATCCTCCGAAAAGCCTATGAAAACGTTACATTTTTCTCCGTTGGTGCAGTTGGTGCTATTCTTGCTTCATTATGAATTCATTTTTACTCCCATGAGAGTTCCATGGAATTTCCATGGAATTTGTGCTTTCGAGTTCTTTGTGCTGAAACGCAATTGCTCGTATAATACCCCGTACACTTTGAAATGGCGATGCCACAATTTACCCCGCAGCAGAGAGCTTTTATGGTATCAGAATTCCTCTGTAGCAACAACATAAACTTGGTTCGCCAAAGTTTCACGAACGAATATCCAGATGTACGATGCCCTTCACGTGCGAATATTTATTACAATGTTAGGAAGTATCGTGGTAACGGGACGAGTTGTAACTTGAACAAGGGTAATGGGGGTCGTCCAAAAACAGCGAGAAGTGCTAAAAACATTGAAGCTGTACGCAATGCTATTGAAGAAGCCAACGGAGAGCGTTTGAATGGTGAAAGGCGCGCGGTTAAGCTGTCGTCGAAACAGACTTGGTTTGTGTTCGGCAACCTTCAACCGGATAACACGTTTAGATTTGATATTTCATCCTTATCAAATGATTAAACGGCACCAACTTCATCAAGGTGATCATCTGCGTCGACTACAGTTTTGCAGGTGGCTACGTTATCGGAACGCCCGTTTTCTTGACGATTTACTCATCGGCGACGAATCAGGGTTTGCACTGAATGCTTCGGTCAACACCCGAAACATTCGAGAATACCAACCACGAGGCGAACAACCGGTAGATTTCCAATATCAGCGAAATGATGACCGACATAAGTTAACGGTTTGGGTTGGGTTAATGGGAAATGGCACTGTTATCGGTCCGTTTTTCTTCCAAAACAACATTGATGGGTTAGATTACTTGCAGTTGATTGATGACCAAATTGTCCCTGTTTTACGGCAGTTGCCCCGTTATCGCAACAGGCGTAATGTGTCATTTCGTCGAGTATGGTGGGCACAGGACGGTGCTCCTCGTCATAGGCGAAGAGAGGTAACTGCTAGATTGACCGAACTTTTTGGAGACCGGTAATCGCAATGAATCGTGCCGTGGAATGGCCTGCTAGATCACCGAATCTTACTCCGCTTGACTTTTTTCTTTGGGGTTATCTGAAGAGCAAGGTTTTCCTAACGCCACCAGAAAATCTTGCAGAACTTGAGCGACGAATCCGCGAAGAGATGTACTGAGACAAGATCGAGCAATGATACGCCGTGCTGTTTTTGACATGGTTAGACGTGCGCAAGCTAGCACAGAACGAAATGGAGGACACGTTGAAGACTAAGACAATTCGATTCTTTTTTGCCGTAAAATTTACCTTTGTTTTATACTCCCGCAGATTTTAAATAAATGTCATTATTCAAAAATATTTAAAAACATGCGCGAGTTTTAAATTTTATTTACATAAAGAATTAAGATACATAATTGACATGACTCATTTAAAATCAAAATGCAAAGGCAAATTAAATTTGTGAATTCATAATGAAGCAAGAACAGCACCAACGGAGAAAAATGTAACGTTTTCATAGGCTTTTCGGAGGATTTGTACTCGGTAAAATCCTGCCGAAATTTTATCATAAATGCAACAAATAGCTTTTAATAACTTTTCATACATGAACTCAAATAAAGAATACCGTTTGTCATTTCCGTGCGCAAGCCACTTTTAGGGGAGCAAAAGATGACCACCCCCCTGGATAGCAAAATTTACTATTTTCAAAATTTTTTATATTTTCCATAATTTAAGAACTCAAGCAATCCATACATATCAAAAATTACATTTCATAAACAGAATTGTGGAATTGAGAGCAACTTCAAAATTGTCATAGTTTTTTTTATACACCCTGTAGAAACACAGGTTTTTTGAGCTTTTGACCAATCAGCGACCGTGTTTTTAAAAGGCTATTTTATAAAACTGTATGTCAATACGGAAAAAAGTTTTATATTTGTTTTATAATATGCACAAAAAAACATAAAGAAGGAAATTTTCCGATGTTATCCGTGTTGACATTCAGGAGTTATATCAACACGGCTCTTAGCCAATCACCGTTCAGAATTTACAAATGCTATATTATTATTACACATATAAGCAGATTAATGCCCGAGCAAGCTTGAAAAATATGCCTGGCCGCGGTGGGAATCGAACCTACGACCTTTGGAATACTAGCCGAATGCTCTGCCAATTGAGCTGCACGGTCAGGTCGGTCCGGTTACTAGAAGGGTGGGATCTGGGGGTATTTCCCCCCAGAAAATGTTTGCATTTTTCTACCCGTATATGGCTGCAATTCCTGCATTTTCTGAAACAGATTTTTGGATATTCAGCATTACATTATGCTGTAATGATGTACTTGCATGGTATGTTTATGTAGATACCACAACTCAGGCTGCCAGCTTGATAAACTTAGAGGGCCAGACTCACACGAAGCACCATAATGGTTGGCACATAGCGGGAAAATGTTGAAAATTTTGCGTCTCTAAATCGTCAGAAATGGCATTTTCAAAGTCTTCTTTACTTCTTTTGTTAGGCCGTTTTATTAATTCTTTCATTATGATTTGTTAGTTTATGCATGCTATCCGTGAGTCAAGACAAAAACTGGGTTGGGGGCACTTTGCCGCCTGCTTCCTTG